AAATATTATTTATTTATTTGCAAAATTTTATAAGAAAACTCCATAGTGACACTGTATTGCTAGGGTGACAGTATGTTAAAAAACATAAATAATAATATAAAAAAAATAAAAATGTAAAAACAATTTTGGGAAAAATTATAATTTTTTGGTTATTTTTTTTTTTTTAAGAAAACCACTTTTTTTTCAAAATTTTTGGGACTTTTTCATTTATATAGCAAAAAAAAATAAAAATCCCAGCGGTGAATAGATACCACCAAAATAAAGCTTTATCAGTCTCAACAAAAATGCTAAAAAATTCATGTGGATACAGTGTTGCATGACCGCGCAATTGTCATTCAAAGTGTAATAGCGCTGAAAGCTGAAAATTGGCCTGGACAGGAAGGGGGTGAAAGTGTCCGGACTGGAAGGGGGGAAAGTGTCCGGACTGGAAGGGGGTGAAAGTGTCCGGACTGGAAGGGGGTGAAAGTGTCCGGACTGGAAGGGGGGAAAGTGTCCGGACTGGAAGGGGAGGAAAGTGTACGGACTGGAAGGGGGGTGAAAGTGTCCGGACTGAAAGGGGGTGAAAGTGTCCGGACTGGAAGGTGGTGAAAGTTTCCGGACTGGAAGGGGGTGAAAGTGTCCGGACTGGAAGGGGGGAAAGTGTCCGGACTGGAAGGGGGGGAAAGTGTCCGGACTGGAAGGGGGGGAAAGTGTCCGGACTGGAAGGGGGGTGAAAGTGTCCGGACTGGAAGAGGGTGAAAGTGTCCGGACTGGAAGGGGGGGGAAAGTGTCCGGACTGGAAGGGGGGGAAAGTGTCCGGACTGGAAGGGGGTGAAAGTGTCCGGACTGGAAGGGGGTAAAAGTGGGCAGCACAGTGGCTAAATGGTTAGCACTTCTGCCTGGCAATATTAGGGTCATTGGTTCGAATCCCAGCCATGGCACCACCTGCCTGGAGTTTGCATGTTCTCCATGTGCCTGCATGGGATTCCTCCAGGTAATCCAGTTTCCTCCCACACTCCAAAGACATGCTGGTAGGTGAATTGGCTCCTGTCTAAATTGGCCCTAGTATGTGTATGTATGAATGTGAGTTAGGGACCTTAGATTGTACGCTCCTTGAGGGTTAGGGACTGATGTGAATGTACAATATATATGTAAAGTGCTGCGTAAATTGATGGCGCTATATAAGTACCTGAAATAAAATAAATAAAAGTGTCCAGACTTGAAGTGGTTAAAGCAATCCACAGAGCTGGCCAGAACCAACTCTTGAGGGAGTCTATTCCCACTCGTGTGGGTTAAGAGAGTTAACATTATGGAAAACCTTTGAAAACGCAAGTACGGTGAAAAGAATGAAGGTCCATGTCTCCTTGATTTTGCTCTTTTAACGTTGAACCCCTTTAAGTAAAGATTTCTCTAGGTTTTATTTGTTATATAATGTTTTATTTTTATTTTTTATTTTAACCCCCCTGGCGGAATTCCCGAGTGTAGCTCGGGGTAAAGTTTCAGTACCAAAAGCAGTAACCCTGAGCTACACTCGGGCTTACCCTGCGGCGCTGCACAGGGATTCCCTGCAGCACTTACCTTGTCCTGCGCTCCCGCGATGTCCCCCCCTGCAGCGTCCCCGGCCATCTCCCCCGGTCGATGCCCGGCATCTGGCTTCCGTGTTTTCGGTCCCTGTGACGTCGGGACGTACGGGGCGCCGGCGGCAAATTTGAAAATTTAAAAAAAAATGAAATTTTTTTTTAAACGATTATTTCATAGCAAAACATTCCTGTATCAAAGCATTTCACATACATTTTTGTCCCGAGTGCTTTGTCCGGCGCCCTGCCTGCATTTTTACTGTTCTTTCTGCCTGGAAACTGAGAAACGTCCCATGGCGTCTAAAAAGGGTCCCTTTAGGTCAAAAGCAGTTTTAGACCGGCTAGAGAACAGCGATAGTAAATCAGAACCACTTGCAGAATTGAGTGATAATGATTCGTGGGGGAAATTCCTCATCAGACACTGAAAACGATTCTGCGACTTTGCTCAGCGATGTGCGAACTTGGCGCTATATTTTCAAATTTCTGTGTTTTTGGTTTGATTATATTATTAAATTAAATTTATTATTATATTATTATTACTTTTTATGATTATTTATTAAATTATAATTTATGATTTCGTGTTTCAAGTTTTATCATCCCCGGGATGTTTACTAGACTCTTGTTCGGACAGATTTCAGTGAGTTATTTCCTACAAATTACAGCCTACAATAAAAAAATACATATTTCCATGCAAAAAAATGGTACTGCTTTCAGCACCAAAAATCTGAAATAATCAGACCGCCAGGGAGGTTAATTTGATTGTAACTTTTTACAATGGGAAACTTCAAGATGTCTCCTGGGAGACTCAGTATGAACTGACAACAGACTTTAACCCCCCTGGAGGTATTCCTGAGTGTAGCTCGGGGTAAAATTTCAGTACCACAAGCGGTAACCCCGAGCTACACTCGGGCTTACCATGCGGCGTTGCTCAGGGAGTCCCTGCAGCGCTTACCTTGTCCTTTGCTCCCGCGATGTGTCCCCTGCAGCATCCCCGGCCATTCTCCTCCGGCCGATGCCAGCATCCGGCTTCCGTGTTCCGGTCCATGTGACGTCAGGACATACGGGTGCCAAGATCGGAGGCAAATTTTAAAATTAAAAAAAAATTTCATTTTTTTCTAAACGAATATTACATAGTAAAACATTGCTGTTTCAAACCCCATTTCACATACATTTTGTCCCGAGTGCTTTGTCCGGCGCCCTGCCTGCATTTTGACTGTTCTCTCTGCCTGGAAACTTAGAAAAGTCCATGGCGTCCAAAAAGCGTCCCTTTAGGTCAGACGCGGTTTTAGACCGGCTAGAGAACAGCGATAGTAAATCAGAACCACTTGCAGAATTGAGTGATAATGATTCGTGGGGGAAATTCCCTCATCAGACACTGAAAACGATTCTGCGACTTTGCTCAGCGATGTGCGAACTTGGCGCTCTATTTCACATTTCAGTGTTTTTGGTTTGATTATATTATTGAATTAAATTTATTATTATATTATTATTTTTATGATTATTTATTAAATTATAATTTATGATTTTGTGTTTCAAATTTTATCATCCCCGGGATGTTTACTAGACTCTTGTTCGGACAGATTTCAGTGAGTTATTCCTAAAAATTACAGCCTACAATAAAAAAAATACATATTTCCATGCAAAAAAATGGTACCGCTTTCAGCACCAAAAATCTGAAATAATCAGACCGCCAGGGAGGTTAATTTGATTGTAACTTTTTACAATGGGAACCTTCAAGATGTCTCCTGGGAGACTCGGTATGAACTGACAACAGACTTTAATTCAGTATGAACCGACATCAGTATCATACAGAGAAGTGTGAATAGAGTCAGATTTGTACTTTGTTTTGGCCTCCAGTGAAGAACCCATTTTTTGTAAGGATGCTTCACAACAAATTAGCAGACTAGGTGCTTAAATCCCTTGAGTACATTTCCTCCAGCATACCAACAAATGCGGACGGAGAGGTAGCAACGCTACATCCAACATGAGTGAGTGTGACGGAACGGGGAAAGGCTCTGCTCATTTCACTTCATAGCGTTAGTTAAGCTATTCCAGCCATTGGGCTAATCAAACTGGCAGAAAACAAAAGCAAACGTTCACGAATTGCCGAGAGACTTGAACATTACATTAACTAAAGTCATACCGCCAAAACATTTATTAAAGGATACATCCACCAAAGGACATTTGCAACTTGTGATGGGATGAGCTAGAAAGATTAAAAGTTAAGTTCACCTTTTCCAGATTATATGCAGTCAAGGGGGGGGGGGGGGCAGTAGGTATTAAAAACTGTGCAGCTTTGTAAAATGTTCATTCATTTTACTGTCATACCCAGGGGCGGATTGACAACTCATGGGGCCCCCGGGCAATAGGGGATCATGGGGCCCGTGTCCTTGTCTAAACTCAAAAAACCTATGAAAAAGGTACCAGGGGTATCCTATGGGGCCCCCTACTGACCCCGGGCCCTCGAGCAGTGCTCGAGTTTCCAAATGGTCAGTCCGCCCCTGGTCATACCTGCAGGCCACTGTGGCCCCTCTGGAAGCCTTGGCTAAAATCTCCCAGTTAGCAATCCCCACATTATTATTATACAGGATTTATGGCGCCAACAGTTTGCTCAGCGCTTTACAATATAACGGGAGACAATACAGCAACAATACAGTTCAATACAAGAGAGGTAGGAGGGCCCTGATCCTGGGAGCTTACAATCTAGGAGGGAGGGGCTAGTGGTACAAAAGGTATTAACTGTGGGGGATGGACTGGTTGGAAGAGTAGAAGATTCCATTATCATCTATTAAAAACTGTGCAGCTTTGTAAAATGTTCATTCATTTTACTGTCATACCTGCGGGCCACTGTGGCCCCTCTGGAAGCCTTGGATAAAATCACCCAGTTAGCAATCCCCACATTATTATTATTATACAGGATTTATATAGCGCCAACAGTTTGCTCAGCAGTGTACAATATAACAGGAGACAATACAGCAACAATACAGTTCAATACAAGAGGGATAGGAGGGCCTGATCCTGGGAGCTTACAATCTAGGAGGGAGGGGCTAGTGGTACAAAAGGTAGTACAGTAACTGTGGGGGATGGACTGGTTAGAAGAGTAGAAGATTCCATTATTAGCTGAGGGCAGTATAGGCTTCCCTGAAGAGAGAGGTTTTCGGAGATCGCCTAAAAGTGAGCAGAGTAGGCTATAGTCTGATAAATTGGGGTAGAGAGTTCCAGAGGATGGGTGACGCTCTGGAAAAGTCCTGGAGATAAGCATAGGAGGAGGACACAAGGGAGATAGAGAGTAGGAGGTCTTGTGATGAGCGGAGAGTATGGTTTGGGTAATATTTAGAGACAAGATCGGTGATGTAATTTGGGGCGGAGTTATAAATGGCTTTATACGTTATTGTTAATGTTTTGCATTTTATTGTTGGGCAATAGGAAGCCAGTGGAGGGATTGGCAGAGAGGGGTGGAGGACACTGAGAGGAGGTCAGTGGAGGGATTGGCAGAGAGGGGTGGAGGACACCGAGAGGAGGCCAGTGGAGGGATTGGCAGAGAGGGGTGGAGGACACCGAGAGGAGGCCAGTGGAGGGATTGGCAGAGAGGGGTGGAAGATACTGAGTGGAGGCAAGTGGAGGGATTGGCAGAGAGGGGTAGAGAACACTGAGTGTAGGTCAGTGAAGGGATTGGCAGAGAGGGGTGGAGGACACTGAGTGGAGGCCAGTGGAGGGATGGCAGAGAGGGGTGGAACACTGAGAGGGGTGGGGATAGGCAGAGAGGGTGGAGGACACTGAGTGGAGGCCAGTGGATGGATTGGCAGAGAGGGGTGGAGGACACTGAGTGGGGGCCAGTGGAGGGATTGGCAGAGAGGGGTGGAGGACACTGAGTGGGGGCCAGTGGAGGGATTGGCAGAGAGGGGTGGAGGACACTGAGTGGAGGTCAGTGGAGGGATTGGCAGAGAAGGGTGGAGGACACTGAGGTGAGGCCAGTGGAGGGATTGGCAGAGAGGGGTGGAGGACACTGAGTGTAGGCCAGTGGAGGGATTGGCAGAGAGGGGTGAAGGACACTGAGTGGAGGCCAGTGGAGGGATTGGCAGAGAGGGGTGAAGGACACTGAGTGGAGGCCAGTGGAGGGATTGGCAGAGAGGGGTGGAGGACACTGAGTGGAGGTCAGTGGAGGGATTGGCAGAGGGGGGTGGAGGACACTGAGTGGAGGCCAGTGGAGGGATTGGCAGAGAGGGGTGGCGGATACAGAACGGTTAGTAAGGTGGATGAGTCTGGCAACAGCATTCATGATAGACTGAAGAGGGGATAGCCTGCGGTGAGGCCGGCCAATGAGGAGGGAGTTACAATAGTCAAGGCGAGATATAACAAGGGAGGGAATAAGTTGCTTAGTGGTTTCCGAGGTTAGGAACGGGCGTATCTTGGAGATGTTGCGGAGGTGAAGTCTACATGATTTGGACAGCGATTGGATTTGGGGCTGAAAGGACAGATGGGAGTCTAGGATTACACCTAGTACTCTGGCATGAGGGGAGGGACTCATGTTTGTATTATTGGTCTTGATGGAGAAGTCAGGGGAGGGGGCATGGGGTGGGGGGAATACTAAGAGCATCCTGCCTTGTTGCTGTGTAATGGAAACTGTTGGTTTATGTGATACTTGGGATGAACATCCAACGGTCTACACATCCCAGCAACAAAGCAGGATATGGGAATTGCTACCTGGGAGGTGTTCAACCTGAAGGGGAGGATGAAAATGGAGATGAAAATGAATGAATATTTTACAAAGCTGTACTGTTTTTTAATATCTAATGGGGGCCCTCAACTGTATAGTCTATTTTCTGAAAAAAGGAGAATTTAGTCTTTAACCCCTTGACACCGACGTAACACAAATATGCAGCCTCACGGAACTGGGCTTTTTTCCAAGGGGCCGCATATTTTGCATACCAGTCTTTGTGCTGGGAGCGCACTGCACGGTGCGCTCCCAGCACAAAAACCGTGGTGTCACTGAGAGCCCCGGGTCCCGTTCTAACGATCGGGACCCGTGACTCCCGATTCCGGGTCACGTGATCGCTGTGATAGCCTCTGATTGATCAGTCACTGTGCAGCATGGCCCCCTTGTTTTTTTCTCTCTCTATGAATGGAGGAGAGAGATACATTGTATCATTATATACATCCTATTATACATTGTATCATTATATACATCCTATTATACATTGTATCATTATATTCATTTTATTATACATTGTATCATTATATACATCCTATTATACATTGTATCATTATATTCATTCTATTATACATTGTATCATTATATACATCCATTGTATTATACATTATACATTGTATCATTATATACCTCCTATTATACATTGTATCATTATATACCTCCTATTATACATTGTATCATTATATACATTCTATTATACATTGTGTCATTATATACATCCTATTATACATTGTATCTCTCTAACTCCTGGCATAGAGAAAAAAAATGTTTATAAAAAAAAAAGATAAATAAATAATTATTAAAAAGCAAGGTCAGGGTCAAAGGTCAAGGTCAAAAGGTCAGGATCAAAAGTCAGGATTAAAAAAAAATGGTATCAGTGTCAGTTAGTGTCAATGTCAGTGTGTTTTAGGTAAAAAAAAAAAAAAAAAAAAGACAAAAATAAAATGTGCACTATTGTTTCTGGATGGTACTACGGGTACAAACAACAAATAACATACACATATATGCAGGGGCGGACTGACTATTCAAGCACTGGGGCACTGCCCGAGGGCCCGGGGTCAGTAGGGGTCCCCATGAAATGCCCCTGGTACCTTTTTTATAGGCTTTTTTGAGTGTGGGCAAGGACACAGGGGCCCCATGATCCGCTATTGCCCGGGAACCCCATGAGTTGTCAGTCCGCCCCTGCATATATGGTATCGTCAGGAGCTGGATAATTTATTTTGGGTTGTTTTTTGGGTGGTAGGTTATGGTAGTACCAAGAAAATCACAGCTAAATAAAAAAAATGATTTTTTTTTTTTTACTATTTTGGGCCAGTTTTCTTAAAAAAATCAGGAGATATCCATTAACATTTACCACCAAATGAAAGCCCAATTTGTCCTGAAAAAAACATGGTATAATCCACCCGGATGTACAAAGTAGTTGTGATGATACGGACGGTTTTACTAACACATATCAATGTTGCAAAATTGTGCTTAGGCATTTAGATTTGTTTCACCCTTAGGTGTGAAGGGTTGAAGGGGTTAAGGCTGAGGGTTCCTATGAACGAGATTCTCCTCCTGTCCTGAAGGTATTGCCAGGCTCAGGCTATGACCTCCCTTTACTTGCGCATTACAAATGTGAAAGGTTTATTGGCTGGTTTAGATTTTTTTGTGAATAAAATATTGGATTTTGTAGAAAGTGGCAGCACATTTCTATTTTGGCAATACATCTCCCATGGGTCACAGGAGTGCACTTTGTTGTGCACTCCTGTGACCCATTTTTAGCTGCCAGTGAGCTAAAGCCCGCTGTTGGCTGACATCACTTAGCCAATCCACGTTCAGGAAAGATACCGACTTTAATGTCGGAATCCACCTAGATGCCTGGACCAGCAGCTGGCCCAAACTGTCAGTGAGCCGCTGAGAACCTGAGCTAGCTGCTTCCACCCACTCACAGTTTGGTGCTTTAGTGAGTGCTGGAGGGGCAGAGCAGAGAGCTGGTGATAGTCATCAGCTCTCTGCTCACTGTATACTGAGAACTCTGTGGCAAATGAGGTTTAATGTTGATAAATGTAAGGCTCTGCACTTGGGGGCTAAGAATATGCATGCATCATACATACTGGGGGGATACAACTGGGGGAGTCAATGGTGGAGAAGGATCTGGGGGTTCTGGTAGATCACAAGCCTAATAATAGCATGCAATGCCAAGCTGTGGGTTCTAAAGCGAGCAAAATCCTTTCTTGTATTAGGAGAGGTATAGACGCCAGAAAGAGAGATATCATTCCCCCGGTACAATTCATTAGTAACACCTCATCTGGAATATGCAGTTCAGTTTTGGGCTCCAAGTCACAAAAAGAACATTGGGGAACTGGAGAAAGTACAGAGAAGGGCAACCAAACTGATAAGAGGCATGGAGGAGATCAGCTATGAGGAAAGATTAGAGGAAATGAATTTATTCTCTCTTGAGAAGAGGAGGCTAAGGGGGGATATGATCTCCATGTATAATACATAAGGGGGGGGGGTATGATCACCATGTATAATACATAAGGGGGGGTATGATCTCCATGTATAATACATAAGGGGGGGTATGATCTCCATGTATAATACATAAGGGGGATATGATCTCCATGTATAATACATAAGGGGGGATATGATCTCCATGTATAATACATAAGGGGGGGGGTATGATCTCCATGTATAATACATTAAGGGGGGATATGATCACCATGTATAATACATAAGGGGGATATGATCTCCATGTATAATACATAAGGGGGGATATGATCACCATGTATATTACATAAGGGGGGATATGATCTCCATGTATAATACATAAGGGGGATATGATCTCCATGTATAATACATAAGGGGGGATATGATCTCCATGTATAATACATAAGGGGGGATATGATCTCCATGTATAATACATAAGGGGGGGATATGATCTCCATGTATAATACATAAGGGGGGATATGATCTCCATGTATAATACATAAGGGGGATATGATCTCCATGTATAATACATAAGGGGGGATATGATCTCCATGTATAATACATAAGTGGGGATATGATCTCCATGTATAACACATAAGGGGGGATATGATCACCATGTATAATACATAAGGGGGGATATGATCTCCATGTATAATACATAAGGGGGGTATATGATCTCCATGTATAACACATAAGGGGGGGGATATGATCTCCATGTATAATACATAAGGGGGGGGATATGATCTCCATGTATAATACATAAAGGGGGGATATGATCTCCATGTATAATAACATAAGGGGGGATATGATCATGTATAATACATAAGGGGGATATGATCTCCATGTATAATACATAAGGGGGGATATGATCTCTATGTATAATACATAAGGGGGGATATGATCTCCATGTATAATACATAAGGGGGGATATGATCTCCATGTATAATACATAAGGGGGGATATGATCTCCATGTATAATACATAAGGGGGATATGATCTCCATGTATAATACATAAGGGGGGATATGATCTCCATGTATAAGACATAAGGGGGATATGATCTCCATGTATAATACATAAGGGGGGATATGATCTCCATGTATAATACATAAGGGGGGATATGATCTCCATGTATAATACATAAGGGGGATATGATCTCCATGTATAATACATAAGGGGGGATATGATCTCCATGTATAAGACATAAGGGGGGATATGATCACCATGTATAATACATAAGGGGGGATATGATCTCCATGTATAAAGACATAAGGGAGGATATGATCACCATGTGTAATACAAAAGGGGGGATATGATCACCATGTATAATACATAAGGGGGGATATGATCTCCATGTATAATACATTAGGGGGGATATGATCTCCATGTATAATACATAAGGGGGGGATATGATCTCTATGTATAATACATAGGGGGGATATGATCTCCATGTATAATACTTAAGGGGGGATATGATCTCCATGTATAATACATAAGGGGGGGGATATGATCTCCATGTATAATACATAAGGGGGGATATGATCTCCATGTATAATACATAAGGGGGGGGATATGATCTCCATGTATAATACATAAGGGGGGGATATGATCTCCATGTATAATACATAAGAGGGATATGATCTCCATGTATAATACATAAGGGGGGATATGATCTCCATGTATAATACATAAGGGGGGATATGATCTCCATGTATAATACATAAGAGGGATATGATCTCCATGTATAATACATAAGAGGGATATGATCTCCATGTATAATACATAAGGGGGATATGATCTCCATGTATAATACATAAGGGGGATATGATCTCCATGTATAATACATAAGGGGGGATATGATCTCCATGTATAATACATAAGGGGGGATATGATCTCTATGTATAAATACATCAGTGGTTCATATAGTGAACTCGGTGTAGAGTCATTCCCCCCTGAGGTCATCACAGAGGACAAGGGGGCGCTCCTTACGCCTGGAGGAAAAGAAATTTAATCTGCAAACACGGAAAGGTTTCTTCACAGTGAGATCTGTGAAAATGTGGAATAGACTCCCTCAAGAGTCGGTTGTGGCCAGCTCAGTGGATTGCTGTAGGAAAGTCCTGGATTCTTTCTTGGATACACAGAATATAACTGGATATAACATTTATAGGTGAAGTTGATCCAGGGAATATCCGATTGCCTCTGGGGGGATCAGGAAGGAATTTATTCCAAGCAGGAGCAATATGGATCGTGCTTTGCTGGGTTTTTGCCTTCCTCTGGATCAACTGTGGGTGTAGGATAATAACTTTTTTTTTTAATGGTTGAACTGGATGGACTTTTGTCTTTTTTCAGCCAGACTAACTATGTAACTGAGTGATCAACAGTCTTTAATTGCTCAGTTCTCGGTGTAGAGCCAGCGTGGCGTAGCTGCAGCTGAGATCGGTGCTGCAGCCATGTAGATAAGTATGAATGTTTTGTTTTTTTTTAAATTCACAAAGTTCTCTTTTAAAGAAGATGTAGCATTATGCTTGCTTTTTTACAGTTCTCACCCCTATGGGACAAAGTGCATGCAGCATTTTGTCCCATGTTGCTAAGTGATTTTTAACCCTAGTTATAAGATCCAACTGGCTCCTCTCTCCTCCTGAAATATTTGATCTGACAACAGCTATGAAGGAGACGGCTGATTAATAGCTGCAGCTTGTCTTGGCCGTGAGCACTTTTCTGTGATATGCAACAGAAGGGGAATTCAGGGGATGACACCTCTCATTTCTCTGCATTCCTCTTGCCGTTGCTCATGTCTCAGGAAAGTGCTCAGAGCCGAGACAAGCTGCAGCTAGGAATCGGCCATCTCCTTCATAGCTGTTTTTTGGATCAGCTATGGCAGAAAGGTGCGCAGACAGGTCAGACCTCATAACTAGGGTTAGAAAGCACTTAGAAACACGGGACAAAGTACCACATGTACTTTGTCCCACAGGGAACAGAATTGTAACAAACAAATTATAATGATCTTCAACTACATACTTCAACAACATATGAGGCAAATGCAGATAATTTGAATGGCAAATCGTGCACACATGGGACATCCAGCTGCCATCTAAGGACCACCTTGTTTAATGTGAGCTTTTCCTTTTGTATTGCATTCATATAAATAAAGAAAACAATGTATTTTTCTAGCAATCACAGATAAGAAATTGGTAAAAGGTTTTCTCCACCAGAGATTTATTTGCTGGATGAATTATACTAATTTAATAGGGTGGACTTATCACCTGATAAAATGATATTCTTTGGGGTTTTTTTTTCATTTATTGCTCTAATTTATGTTCTAATCTATTAGCTGAAGATAAACAGGGGTACTGGGTTTATGTGAAATGTACTTGCCATGTTTGTGAAATGTTTGTTGTTACTTGGTAGGTACAGTCAGGGGAAGATTAGGGGGTACTTGGCATTGCATAATTTATAACGCTGCCACCTCCTCCCCACTCCCCCTCTCTGTTGGGGTCCCTCAAGGCTCTGTCCTTGGGCCCCTTCTCTTCTCCATCTACACCTCCTCCCTTGGCCAACTGATATACTCTCACGGCTTCAACTACCATCTCTATGCCAACGACACGCAAATCTATTTCTCTACCCCTCGCCTCACCCCTTCAGTCTCCGCCCCAATCACTAGCCTACTGAACGACATATCGGATTGGATGTCACTCCACTTCCTCAAACTGAACCTTTCCAAAACTGAGCTCCTAGTTTTCCCCCCAGCCCGCGCCCCCCGACTTCTCCATCACGACCAACAATGCCACCATCAGTCCTACCCCGCAAGCCAGAGTACTAGGTGTCATCCTAGACTCCAATCTGTCCTTCCAGCCCCAGGTCCAATCGCTGACAAACTCATGTAGACTTCACCTCCGCAACATCTCCAAAATCTGCCCGTTCCTAACCCCAGAAACCACTAAGCAACTCATTCACTCTCTTATTATATCACGACTTGACTACTGTAACTCCCTCCTCACCGGCCTGCCTCACCACAGGCTATCCCCGCTTCAGTCTATCCTGAATACTGCGGCCACTTTTATCCACCTTACTAACTGCTCCGTATCCGCCACCCCCTTCTGCCAATCCCTCCACTGGCTTCTGATTGCCCAACGGATAAAATTCAAAATGCTAACACTGACCTACAAAGCTGTTCATAACACTGCCCCTAACTATATCACCTACCTGATATCCAAATACCACCCAAAACGCACACTCCGCTCCTCACAAGACCTCCTACTCTCTATTTCCCTGGTCTCCTCCTCCCATTCCCGTCTCCAGGACTTCTCCAGGGCTTCCCCCATCCTCTGGAACTCCCTACCCCAATCTATTAGACTATCACCTACTCTCCTCTCCTTCAGGCGCACCCTGAAAACCGAACTCTTCAGGGAAGCCTACCCCGCCCTCAGCTAATTGCCGATCTCCTCCACTCTTATTACCACTCCATCCCCCTCAGCTATTCCTCCTGTACCACTATCCCCTCCCTCTTAGATTGTAAGCTCCAAGGAGCAGGGCCCTCAAACCCCCTCGTGTATCGCACTGTATTGTTATTGTACTGTCTCATGTATTGTCTCCCATTGCAATGTACAGCGCTGAGCAAAATCTGTTGGCGCTATATAAATACTGTATAATAATAATAATTTCATAATAAACCAAGGAAACAAGTGGGACAAGGGGTCTTACAGAGGAAGGGGTTGGAAACAAACTAGGTGTGTCCAACGAACGTAATCTCAAAAGGTCAAGATTTTGGTAAAATGCTATGGAAAGGTCCAGGGATCCCAGATGTACAGGTATTTATCCATTTTGTCAGTCCATTTAGCTTCTATCTTTTCATGTGGCATGACTGAGCTCATTCTTTGCTTGCTTTCAGTCAAGGGGAAGGCTGGTTATTTCAGGTTTTGGCAGTTGTCTGCTTGACGGCTATTAGAACATGCAGTAATAAACTGAAACAACTTTTGGAAAGGCCTGGAGATTCGAGATCTAAGAGAGCATGTTGAGATAAGAAAGTGATTGAGGAGTCCATTATTTCAGAAATTATCTGAAATATTTCCCCCCAAAACTGCTGGAGCTACAGGATTGGTCCACCATATGTGAAGAAAAGTCCACACCTTCTGAAGCACTGTGGTGGGTATCTGTTGACATAATGGGTGAACTCAGATGGTAATAAATACCAGTGCGTCAGGAATTTATAGTTGGTCTCCTCCACCAATACATTACCAGAACAGGATTTGACTGTTTCCCAGATTTGGGACTGATCTTCTGCATCCAACTCTAGCCCTGAATCTGTTGACCAGAGTATATTTAGGGTTTTTTTAACTGCTTGCCTACCAGGCACTTATACCCCCTTCCTTACCAGGCCAATTTTCAGCTTTCAGCGCTGCCGCACTTTGATTGACAATTGCGCGGTCATGCAACATTGTACCCATATGAAATTTTGATAATTTTTTTCTCACAGATAGAGCTTTCTTTTGGTGGTATTTAATCGCCACTGGGCGCTTTACTTTTTGCGCTATAAATAAAAAAAAGTGCAAAAAATTTGAAAAAAAAAAAAAGTTTATTTGTTTCTTTTATAAAATTTTTCAAACAGGTATTTTTTCTCCTTCACTGATGTGCGTTGATGAGGCAGCACTGATGGGCACTGATAGGCGGCACTGATGGGCACTGATAGGCAGCACTAAAGGGCACTGATAGGCAGTACTAATGAGGTGGCACGGAAATTAGGCGGCACACTGATATGCAGCACTGATAGGCGGCACTGATAGGTGACACTGATTATGGGTACTGATAGACGGCACTGACTGGCATCACTGCTGGGCACTGACTGGCGGCACTGACTGGCACAACCCCTGGGCACTGACTGGTGGCACTGACTGGCAGCACTGCTGGGCTGCACTGGTGGGTGGCACTGGTGGGCAGCACTGGTGGGTGGGCACAGGTGGGTGGCACTGGTGGACACAGGTGGGTGGCACTGGTGGGCACAGGTGGGTGGGCACAGGTGGGTGGCACTGCTGGGCACATGTAGGTGGCACTGCAGAGTGGCACAGGTGGGTGCACTGCTGGGCACAGGTGGGGGCACTGCTGGGCACGGGTGGGCGGAGCTAGTGGGCGCACTGCTGGGCGGAACTTGCGGGTGTCACTGCTGGGCACCGATCATCAGGGCACTGATCATCAGTGCCCTGACGATCGGTGCCGATCCCCGCTCTGACAACTGCCGGTTCTCGGCAGTACTTTCCTCACGGTCTGACAGCGTGAGGAAAGTGCAGCCGAGAACCGGCACTTGCATTTCCCTGTGATCAGCGTGTCATTGGACACCGCTGATCACGTGGTAAAAGGCCGCTGTGATTGACCTTTTACCACATCACGTGATCAGCTGTGTCCGTAGGACACAGCGATCACGGAGATCGCCGGGTGCGTGCCCCCTGGGGCGCGCAGGAGAGCGCGTTCTGGGAGGACGTCATATGACGTCCACCCAGAACTGGCCGGCCGCGGTGAAGCCGTCATTCGGCTATGCGCGGTCGGCAAGAGGTTAATGAAGAGGGCATGAGAAGCATTCTGTATTATATATATTGATCATCCCTGGTGCATAGGGGTCCAAATTCATTTTTGTTCAAAAGGGGGAAAGAATCAGGAGACCTTCCGGTTTGCAAAAAATTGCTTGTATGAATTTTTATTTATTAGTTTTTTTTTTATACTAGCATTCTGACACTGAGGGGGGAAATAACTGTCATTGACATCCCCAGTGACACCAATACAGTGATCAGTGCCAATAAAATGCACTGACACTGTACTAATGGCACTGGGCAGGAAGGGGTTAACATCTGGGGCAATCAAAGGGTTAACTGTGTGCTGTGTGTGTTTTACTATATGTGCTGTGCTTTACTATGTAAGTAAGTTGGAGCTGACAGGGGAGAGATCTTTATTGTTTACATACAGACCTCTCCCCTCTCAGTGATACTCGGCAATCGTCGGGTGTCAGCGGGAAATCACCGTCCGGGACCCGGTGTCAACAGCTGTAGCTGCCAGTGGCGGCGCAGGTAGGTATAAATATGCGATTTTTTTTGCAGCCCTGCCGCCCTGTAGCAGTAGTTCTGCTATAGGGTGGTTGGGAAGCGGTTAAAACATCCAAAATACTCATAAGTATACTCATAAATAAGCAAAGGCAAAAAGATCAAGCCAGTCCTGGAAATCAAACGGATCGCTTCCGGACTCCAAGGTGCGTGGCATTGTCACGAATGTCGGCTCCGCCCTACGTGTTTGGTCACATATAACATCTTCTGGGGCATGGACCATGAATGGTAGACTTTTATTTAAATATTTCGAATTGTTGAATCACATTTCTATTTTTCCACACCTGGCTGATTTAGTATTGATATGATTTTCTGAGTTTACTGTTTTATATTGTAGCACAGAATTATGGAAAAAAAAAAACACAGAGGGTAAAAAAAAAAAAAAAAATATATATATATATATATAGAACTATGTGAGAATTATGGAAAAAAAAACATTTCAGAGTGTTTTCAACCTTTTTTGTGCAGGCACACTTTTTTCATGAAAAAAATCACGAGGCACACCCACCATTAGAAAGTAAAAAAATTAAACTATAAAAAGTAAAAAAAAAAAAAGAAATATATAATATATATATAGTATAGTTGCCCTCAAGAAAAATTATGTCATCCCTCATATAGTATTTCCCCCCCATATAGTATTATACATCCCCCCATATAGTATTTCAGTTTTCATCCCCCCATATAGCATGAAGTTTCATCCCTGATATAGTAATTCATATAAATATAGTATTTCATCCCTCATAAAGTAATTCATCCCTCATAAGTATTTCGTCATCTAAGTCACAATTCACTTACCTTTTTGCGTTCCTCTCGCTGTCTTCCCGCGCCGTTCGGGTCTTCAGGGCGGAAGAGGACCTACAGTCTGCTGAACATAATACAGCTATCAAGCAAAAAGGTCATTTTGGGGCTGCCAACCGAGAGAGGCAGGGGAGCGGCCGCCAGGAGGGAGGGGAGGTTTAACTGGTGCACATAGCCGCATGTCAAATTCTAATGATTGGTCATTCACAGTGCAGGGAGGAAAACGTATCTGAGGCCACTAGCTTAAAAACGCTGACTTCTCCACAGTCTGCTGAACATGATTGATGTTGCCATGGTTTAGCCAGGAGGGAGGAAAACGTGAGCCAACCTTGACTCCCAATCAGGAGTGAGCCAACCTGATGATATTGGATGTGTTGCTGACAGCTGTCCTGCCCTTAAAAAACACACACCTGTTTTGGGTTTACTGGTTTCAAGAAGCACTGTCTGATGTGAACCATGCCTCGCAGAGAAGAGCTCTCAGAAGACCTACGATCAAGAATTGTTGACTTGCATGAAGCTGGAAAGGGTTACAAAAGTATCTCCAAAAGCCTTGATGTTCATGTGTCCACGGTAAGACAGACTGTCTACAAATGGAGAAAGTTTAGCACTGTTGCTACTCTCCCTAGGCGTGGTCGTCCTGTAAAAATGACTGCAAGAGCACAGCGCAGAATGCTGCATGAGGTAAAGAAGAGTCCCAGAGTGTCAACTAAAGACCTACAGAAATCTCTGGCACATGCTAACATTTTTGTCGACACATCTACAATAAGGAAAACATTAAACAAGAATGGAGTACATGGGAGGACACCACGGAGGAAGCCATTGCTGTCCAAAAAGAATATTGCAGCACGTTTGAAGTTTGCAAAAGAGCACCTGGATGTTCCACAGCACTACTGGCAAAATATACTGTGGACAGATGAAACCAAGATTGAGTTGTTTGGGAAGAACACACAACACTATGTGTGGAGAAAAAAAGGCAAAGCACACCAACATCAAAACCTCATCCCCACTGTGAAACATGGCGGAGGGAGCATCATGGTTTGGGGCTGCTTTGCTGCCTCAGGGCCTGGACGGATTGTTGTCATTGATGGGAAAATGAATTCCAGAGTTTATCAAGACGTTTTGCAGGAAAACGTACGACCATCTGTCCGCCAACTGAAGCTCCACAGAGGATGGGTGATGCAACAGGACAATGACCCAAAGCATACAAGTAATTCAACAAAACAATGGCCATAACAGCACAGAATACGCCTTCTGGAGTGGCCCAGTCAGAGTTCTGACCTCAACCCCTATTGTTGTGACTTAGATGATGTTCAGAGCACATTTTATGCCCAATTCATGCAAAACTCCACGTAATCCCAAGGGGTTCACATACTTTTTCTTGCAACTGTATATATATATATATATATACACACACACATACATTTTTTTATTTTTTTAAGTTAATTAGGGTAAATACCATGGGGATGTGTACTATGGATTCACTACTAGCAATTATAGTATGGTCAGCTTCCAATAATGTTTTAAAGGATAACAACAAAATTATCACTAACTGTAATTTTAACTCACTGTTGGTCTGAGGTCTGGTCAACTACCAACCTTTAATAAGCCAATACTTAAAGTGTTACCTGCATTCACTATATCCGCTCTCCCCGGAACCTGCATTCACTATATCTGGTCTCCCTGGACCCCGCATTCACTATATCCACTCTCCCTGGACCCTGCATTCACTATATCCGCTCTCCCTGGACCCTGCATTCACTATATCCGCTCTCCCCGGACCCTGCATTCACTATATCCGCTCTCCCCGGACCCTGCATTCACTATATCCGCTCTCCCCGGACCCTGCATTCACTATATGTGGTCTCCCTGGACCCTGCATTCACTATATCCGCTCTCCCCGGACCCTGCATTCATTATATCCGCTCTCCCCGGACCCTGCATTCACTATATCCGCTCTCCCACAGTACACACAACAAGAAAATGCAATTATTTTAGTAAATATAAACTGCTAAATACCTTTTCTCATCAGCAGTTAGAGCAGTCTTGTGACTTCAGCAGAGCACTGGTTAAAGCTTGCAGGAGGAGTTTTCTTTCTGCTCTAAAAGGATGTGAAACACCTGACCCTCTCTCTGGAAAGTGCTGATTGGCCCTGTGCTGATCACATGCACTCTCCCCAAGAATAATAAAAAAAAAAAACCTCTCTAGCAATGCACACCAAACTGAGCATGTGTATGTGACTACGGATTCAGTCTGTATCAGGTGGTTATTTCAACAAGAGGAGGGGCAGAGAAGACAGGATCAAACAGTCTTTTTACACAATGCAGAGGATTAACCCCTTAGGTTCCACAATGAGTATAACAAGCATGCTTTACGCATATACAGACTGATTGTACTGTTGTGGGTTTAGTAACACTTTAAGTTTTACCAGCACCAGCCTCGGGAGAGATTTGTAATTGTGACAGGAGTGACTTTTGGAGGTGGGGGGACCCCTTTCTCAGCTCCTCATGTTCCTCTTATGTGTAAGGCACCCTGTGCCTATTAGGGGTGCAGGGTGATCTGCCCTTGCTATTGTGTGGACATGTATAGGTTGGGTGTGGGGGTTGTTCATTGTTCACTGCCATGTGGTTGTTCCATTGTTTTATTGTGTCTTGCTTGCCAGCAAACTATTATGGGATGTATGTGTTCCTGTATTGTCTACTGCCAGGTGGTGTATCCCTTTGTTCTGTTGTGTGTCTTGGTTTGGTGGGGGGTGTTTCCGGCAGCCCTTCCCCCTGATGGGACAGCCTGCTGATGTGTTTCCTGTACCTGGTTGTATTTCCCTGCCCTGTGTATATATCTTGTGTTTGTGTTAAAATAAAGCAGTCCACTTCCTGTCTTGAGAAGAGTCTGGTGCTGTCTCGTCCTGTATAATCATCGGTGGTGTCCGTGGATCTGTGTTCAAACAGGGAAGCGGGAGTCTAACGGAAATACCCTAGCACAGTCGGGGTCCGGTTCCGTTACCGTAATCAATGCAAATGATCGGTTATTGCTGTGACGTTTCTAGTAGTTGGCTTTCTTTATGGCCAGTATCTACAGGCCAATGTTACATAGTTAGTCTGGCTGATAAAAGACAAAAGTCCATCCAGTTCAACCATAAAAAAAAATTGTATAATCCTACACCCACAGTTGATCCAGAGGAAGGCAAAAAACCCAGCAAAGCACGATCCAATTTCCTCCTGTAGGGGAAAAAATTCCTTCCTGATCCCCCGAGAGGCAGCCGAACGTTCCCAAAACTTTAATAAAACAATAATCTCTCTTCTGAAATGATTTCATGGCGACAAACGTAATTCTATGAGAATCGGGATGTCATCAGCTATGTAGGAGTTAAAGAGTATCTCAGCTCTGCCCTGCTGTGTTATCACTGGTGATCTGGAGGG